CACTGTTAAAAAACAGGGCGTCTACTCAAACACGGTTACCCACTAAATATAACGTTTGAAAAATTATATATATATATATATATATATATATATATATATATATATATATAATATTTTAAGTTTTAAAGATCAACGAAACTTTTACATTAATTTTTTTTTAATATTTCTGACTATTTTCCTGGTCTCCGGTGAAAGATTAAATATACATTGTTCAGTATCTCTGTTTCATAAGCCATGATCAAGTAACTTTTCTTTTGTCCTAATTTGATTGATTTTCAAATATCGCAACGTGTGATGAAAGATAAATTTTCAAAGCTCCTTTATTACGATTTCTGCTACTCATTCCAACAGTCATAAAACATGTCCATTTCGAAGCTTGTAATAAAAGCAATGATAATATGAATAAAACACGTCAAAAGCTTATATTGAAAATACTTAATTTCAGATTTCAAACAACTTAAAACAACTAAATCCATCAAAAAATATCTTTTCAACAGAAATATAATTTGTGAGCTTCTCGAGTAATTGCAGTTTAGATTTTTATATTTCTACCATCAAACTCTAAAATACAACTCTAACTTCAGCCAAGTTAAAATTTTGCTTTGGTTAGTAACTTGTTTTGTGGACCGAAAGACAAAGGCAAGACCTTCTGTGTATTTTTTTTTAATTAATTAATTTTTTTTTTCAATGTGGGCCTAGCTGAAGGAAAACAAAAAGAAAATACATGTTTTATTTTAATTTTCGTAACAGTTGGTGTGTTGAAATGAATGAAGGGTCACTTCATATCTCACCTAGAGAAGTGTTTTGTGTTGACCCTTGGAAAAGAAAAATCTGCTCCAAAGTACAAATTAATTCGTATTCAACAAACCAATGCCTTTACACAGATTTTTCTTGAAAAGAAAAAAAAATATTCATAAGAAGAACACCGATAACATCTTTTTTCTTTTTTTCTTTTTTTTTATTCACCAGCGCCCGTTTTTACTTTTGGTAATTATTTTATTTCTTTAGGTCAGATTTTTGGAAAAAATTCTCTAAGCTTTATCTGGGCCCGGCTGCTTCTGCAAAATGAAAAAGGAAAAGTCAGTAGTGCCTACAGCTCTATTTCTTAATCTCTTGTTTCAACAACGAATCCCCAAGTTAACTTCTTGCCGTATTGCTGTGGGCTATTTGACAGCGTCAAAAACATAAAACATGTTATTGAATAAATTCTTACGTACGTCACCAAGTGATTGTCAAATAGAAAATATCACTGCAGATAGTATCTGCTATAGTCGGACGTCACTGTACTCTTTCGCCCCTGTCATTCGCTACAGTTATACATGAACACACAGATGTATTGAACCCTTTTGTGAGTGGCCAGACCCCATACCGGTGCCCAGAGTTTGTTAGCACTATAGAGGCTGATAACGTAGAATATGCCATGCCTGCGGGTCCTGGTCCAACATTCACATCCCGGGGAGAGATCATCAGGCACTGCAGGGAGATGCTGAGGCCCCTACGGTTCGTCTGCCATATTGCCGCTCAGTAGTTGTGTACGAAACACAATGCCGGACCAGTTGTGACCACTAGGGGGCGGGATTCAATTCAAATCAACATTTGCATTTTTGCTTTTTAAAACTGTCAATTTACTGTTCATTTATATTTGCTTGAGATTATATTTATTCTTTTCTTTATATAATTATCATTAGTTTAATTAAATCTGTTGATCTAATTTTAACACTTTTTGGAGTGCTTATTTGAAAATTATAACTGTTGCCAATAACCTAAAATGAAACATTTTTTATATTACAACTAATGTAACCAACTTTAGTCGAAAGCTGAGAAGCCGATAAATTGCTAACATTGGTTAAATGGCTAATGGCTTGCTATTGGATGTATTAAAGATATTTACTAGGCTTAACTGGGTAGTGTACAAAACCAATAGTGTGTTATAGGTAGGATAAGTTATTTTACATGATTCTTCTAAATTACAAGGACCTTGAAAATCAGCATTAGAAATCCATCTAAACTCGAACATCAATCACTGGATCGATAGGTAAATACAAACCAATCCAATCTCTTAATTAAAAATACTCTCTGTGCTATAGCTTTCTTCGTTACATGAATAACTGTGTATTTCCACAAAGGATCTGGTGGTCGATGTTCAAGCCCAGATAAAAAAAATATTTTGAATACTGATTTTCAAGACAAGCAGGCTCTCTCCAGTTGGAAGATAAAAACAAAACAATCTTTCTAACCCTCATTTTCCACCCGTCTTTAGTCTTATCCTGAAGTAAGATAAATTACCATAAGATAAGCATGTGAAAATTCGCCTTCGAAATACGATAATAGCGAATTCATCCAGAAATCAACTGTGTAATGAATTCTATTCTCACTGGGTGTTTCACAATTCTGACCTTTCAGATAAGGTTAATAAGTAAGTGCATGATCAGAAATTATAGATAGCAAAACTAACGTGTTTTACATCAGATGAGTACTATATACATACATATATATATATATATATATATATATATATATATATATATATATATATATATATATATATATATATATATCCTAACAAATACTTTAGATTTATCATGTATTATAAAAAAAAATCAGAAAGGCTAATATAATTCTTAGAAATAATTAATCACCTCAAAATCTACTCAATGTAAAAAATAATGTTGGTTAGGAATTCGTATGTCTTTTGGGAGATTGCATTTCCAACACTAAGAATCAACAAACAACATTAAATTCTTATATTGGCCACACATGTACCACACTTACTCATAAGTTGATTTGTCATTTGTCAAAATCTACTGCAATTCGCTCATATGTAGAACAACATATGACAAATAAGAAAAATAATATTACCATAAAACAAATTTTAGTAGATAACACCAAAATTTTATATAAGACACAGTGCCCCTCCCCCCCCAAAAAAAAAACCTCAACATTCTGGAGTCTGTTGTAATAAAAGAGAAGCAACCAACATTAAATATCTTTTTCTACAGAAACTATATATTGAAGTATGTTTAAAATACATACATATTTTACACACACACACACACACACACACACACACACACACACACACACACACACACACACACACATATATATATATATATATATATATATATATATATATATTGGGATCGGGCAGAATTTTTATTGAAAGGAAAAATTAGCTTTTTGGGGGGGTTCAGCTAAAATTTTAAAAACTTTCTTGAATTTGCTTTGGATTTTGGTACGTTAAAAAAACAGGAAATGATATTCCTTTATATTTACACAGCGAAATGTAGTATATCGCATTTAATATAGTTTCTTTTCGATAATTTAAAAATCCAACGCAACTTTTTAGTCACTTCTGGTTGTTATCCTTTTTTAGTTAAATTTTTGTGCAGAGTTAGTAATATTTGTTATTTCTCTTTCTCACTGATCGCTTACGTCATTTTGAACATCAACTGTGTCTACTTGAGATATCAGAAAAATTACTCCTATCTTTTTACACGTCCTGCTACTTCCATGGAGTCGAATACACCTCATTTCCTTCCTATTTCAAATGTAAAGAGTTCGTTCCACTCAGAAAGTTTTTTTTTCCCCAAAGAACTGCTACTTTATAGAACAGATTCCTGAAAACTGCAATAATAATCTGTTCAAATCAAGGGACAATCGGTATCTATCTTCCTTATCCTCTTCACTTTCTCCTCTTTCACTTTATTATTATAACCATTTTAACAGTAACCCTCTACCTTGAGTTGTTCTCGAGCCTTTTACTGAGTTAACATTAATATTAAAAAAGTATTATCTTTATCCCTATGACAACTTTTCTTCCCCTTTCGATTAATTCGTAACACGCAACATGTAACTCATAACATGCATACACACATAATTCTTATCTAAAACAGTTCCTCAAACATTCTATTTTCCTCTCTTCATAATGTTTTTTCTCGGATTCTTTCAAATAATACCCACCATAACAATTGTTGTGAAAACATATTAACATCTTTACAAAGATGTTCGAAAATTTAAGGCATTTTGTGTTTTTACAAATAGTTCTGATAACATATATAAAAAAATGAAATATGCATCATTTTAAAATTTTCTATTAAATACATTTAGCATTGAATGACTCTAAATGCAAAAACTTCAATACTTTTAGAGAACACTTTTGTTATTATCAACAAAAACTGCATTTTTATCATTTCACCCTAAGTAAGCCGATAAAACTACTAAGACACAAGGTTTTATTGAGTTTGAAAGAATCCGAGAAAAAACATGAAGAGAGGAAAATAAAATAACAGGATTCAAGGAGACAAAAGATAACGATTGACATTGCATTTAAACGAGAAGTGTGAGGGAAGAAACTATTAGTATAGAATGTCTAGCAATTTCAACTGTAAAATAATGATACCTGCGCCTAAGTTCGTCAAGTGAGGTACCAAAAATTTTAACAGTACAATTACCATCAAAATATTTATAGAAAAGACACAGTGAAGCTACGTTTCGACGTTAGGAAAAAGGACTGAAGCCAAAATGCCAGGTTAGGACCGATAATATTACAGATACTTCTTTGGGTTTGTCAAAATTTTCTAACTACATAGCAGAAGCAGTAGACTAGATGTGGCATCAATATTCGATGCATGGACGAATGGTAAACTTATAAAGGTGAAAGCGGGAAGAATTGTCTAGCGCGACACATTGAACCAACTTTACTAGCAGCAAACCTAGCAAACGAATGAATATAATCCTTCCACTTCATGGCAGTGGAGAACGTCAGCCCGAGAAGTCACAATGTGTTACTCTCCTTGAGGTTAGTATTAGCTTATACTTATAATGATTTAGTGATACAAATCCGATTAATTAGACAATAGCTGGGGGAGAAGAGGTGAATTCATATCTTTCCCAAGGATATTTGTGCATATGTAATTATAAAGAACCCAACTGAAATTGGAACCCGGTTCTCCGATTAACAATTCCAAGCCATTATTCATACTATCCGCAAATCCAAGCTTACAACACATGGTATTCCAAAGCACTCACCCATCTAGGTACTGATCAGGCTCGACGTTGCTTAACTTCGTTGATCGTACGGAACCGGTGTTTGAATATGGTTTGGCCATAACATCTAGTGTAGTGAGTTCAATCATCACTGATTACAGTACTATGACGACTTTGTGGCAAACTTATCTAACCTTAGTAAACAGAGCGATAGCAAATAAAAAGTAATGATTTCTAACGCTGATTCTCAAGATCTGCAAGATCGCCACACTTGGAAAACTGAAAAGTCTGATCTCTTTTTCCTATATTTAGCCTTGTACCTTACTAAGCCTTAGAAAATATCAATAACAAGACAATGTATTTACATTTGATCAACGTTTCTGTTTCTTTGATTAAGTATTTTTTTCTCTTTTGCATTTGTCATTTGAAGAACAAATACGTTTTGTTTATCCTGAAAAGCGCGACAATTCCCAAGTAAAATAATCTAAAACGTGATAAATGGCGAAACAAATGTTCAGTTATAATTCCAAAGTGCTCTCTAAAAGTTTCTCTCCAACTCCAGGTTTTAGCAAACTCAAACCTTTTGTCTTAATAAGTTCGCCCTTTCCAAGGTATTCTCTCTCGCATAAGTAAACACCTAAAGTCAGCGTAAAGGGGATCTCGTTGAAAACGCCCCAAACCGTCCACTAGAGAAGAAAAAAAAAACAAGGTAGTCTAATCAAGTGGTCCATATTCTTGGGTGATCGATGGCTCAGTAAAGGGCTTCTTTCAAAAAGAAACAAAGAGATTTCTCGCCAGTGGCGAAAATTAATAGATTTTAAATCGGGAAGCTTTTGATTTATTTGGGATACCAATTTGTTTTTCATTCTTGAATATCGCAAAAGATGACATTAAACCATTTATTTCTTTCGTACGAAGTTTACCAACACCAAAATTCACAAGAAATGCATTCTTCTTTTCATTCTCTTCATTTGTCATTTTGTTTCTTTACAGGTCAAAACTGCGGGTATATTGGTCAAGATTTTTGTACTCAACTTATGTACGTCTTGATTATTTGACAAGCTGTTTATTTTTTTTTTTAGATCACCCAACAGCAGGTGGCAAACCCGGCAACGTCCGATTGTGTTTTGTTTATTTCATTGTACTTCCCTGACCCTTCTTTACAACGAAGCTGGATTATCGTAGATTTTATTAAAAAAAGACGTAGAGCATTGAACCATTGAAAGTACCATCTGCTTACTTATGCTTGTGCTCTGTCTGTATAAATAGTTGACCAGCCGATTATCCAAGCTTCGTGTAGATTATAATAAATAGATAAGAAACCATTTTTTTTACTTATTCGGCTGCAAATCTCCATTAAAATATCCATATATATATATATATATATATATATATATATATATATATATATATATAAAGCCTTGTGTGTGAAACACATTTCATTGAGCGCACAGACACTACAATTTGATCCTAGACAGTATGCATTAATCCTATGACGGTATTAATTTCACTACACACAGTGGCATAATGTAATACAAAATCTGTTTAATGTGGAGTGCTATACATACAGGCCAAGGGAAAAAAAATGCCCAGTCATTGTGACCACTGTCACGATTGCTTCAATGTTACCGTAAAGTTGGGATATCCCGAGTTAGGCACCCCTCAGAACTTTAAGAGGAAGAGAGAACATATACTAAACTTTGATCCCAGTTCAAAGGCCTGGGAGCGTACGCTCGGTATTTATCCACCGGACCACGGTGGTAGGGTGTATTACAAGGTCGTTTTTAACTTTCGATGTCCATTTGTTTTCATACAGGCCAAAGAGAAAAAAAAATTCCAGTCCTCATGACTACGGTAACGCTGGTGTCAGTATTCATCAACCCTATGCAATTAGGGAGGTGCTGCCGCAGAGCTGGGATCAGGTATAACTTGAAGCTTTTCTGTGAACTACCAAAAACAGAAACATGACTGAGAGGTAAAGAACTGATACTACACGTTGATCCATGAGACTGTAGACCGGGAAAAGTGTACCCTGAGCTTTGGCAAAATTTCCAATCCATACGTATTCTTTTTTTGTACGAATACTAGGCAAGTATTTGTACATTTTAGGAATGTATTCACCGATTGGAAACTTTAAAATACGCCAAGATTGTTCTTTTCAAGTTTCGTTAAAGTTTGCGATCATTAAAAATTTACAAGTATAAGTCTAACGGACATATAAGTAAATAGCAGCCATCATTTGACATTTACAAAGAGAGACTTACTGAAAATAATTTACTGCAGGATAAAACTCCAAGTGAAATAACAGCACATACACTTCACAATGTCAAGGAGCGTGTCAGTTGTAAGATTTTAAAACGAAACTTAGAATTTATCAATATGAAGGTGGGATGAGCCAATGTCAAAAATTATTAAGATTCTATTTTCAAAAAGGAAACTAAGTAACGTACAATTCATACAATCAGGAAGGAAACCACTTCATCTCGTTCAGATTACTCTGGGATTTCCTCC